GAGCACTGTCCAGAGCAGTTTGGGGATCTGCAGTGGCACAGAGCTCACCCAGCCAACCAGCCTTGCTCATGCACTCGAGGAAATACTGTCAGTCAGATTTGGGATGGGGGAAGGAATGTGTTGCCAGGTCTGGGGGTCAGCCTAGGAGAGACCGTAGCTCCTGAGGTGTGAGCACAGGCACAAGGATGGGTTGGGCTTGCACGTGGCCACATCTCTGGGTCCTTGAGGAGGAGCTTGGTGGCTGCAGAAACATCCTGGGCGTATCTGTGAGGGATGAGAAGGGCAGTGCCCAGTGCAGGTGCTGCTGCAGGCACCAGGTGTTGGTGTGGTCCTGCCCAAATCCTGTGAGGCGGGGCCTGTTCCTCAGCCCCGCTCCTGCCCCTTCTTCCCCTCCGCCCACACCGAGTGTTACAATCCAGTCCCAGGCAGGTTGCACAATTTATTTTCCTGTGCTTAAAGCGGGATTTTGGCAGTCAGGGTCGGGAGGCCTCTTTGAGGAGCGCTGGCTGGGCGCCCTCGCGCTGTCACAGGATCACAGTGCTGTCAAAGGCTCTGCTCCACCCGGGCTCTGTCCTTCAGCCTGGCCTTGTGTGCAGCCTCCAGCTGGGCAGCCAAGGCACTGCTGACATCTCCAACAAGTGCAGGTGAGAGCAGTGATCACCCCAGTGTGGGTGCTCCTGTGCCAGGCTGAGGTGAGACCTGTCACTCCCGATTCCTGAGGGGTGGCAGCTCGAAGGAGGACTGATCCTCTCCTGCTGCCTGCCCGTGCAGTGAGACCCCATTCCATCCTTCAAACACCTGTTTGGTGGTCCTAGACTCATTTTTTCCTGCTGTCTCTCCATCACCTTGCTTACCTATGGCCAGCTGGTAAACTCATGTGGATAAAGGGAGAGCAGGAGATACAGGGGAATTACTGTGCTGGTTGCTGAGGGAAGATGCAAAGGGATTTGGTGTAGTGTTCACTGAGGTTGTGAGCGGAGGGAAAGCACACCAGTGCTAATTCATGCTCCATCAACACCATTAATGTCACCCACAGTGATTTAATTGCTTTGCAAGGAACAGCAGGTGAGTCTGAGCATGCCTGGGGAGTGGGAGTGGTGGAAGTGTCCATGGCCAGCAAAGGGCATGAGGATGGTGTGGTCAAAACACCTGGAGAGAAATACCAGCTCTGCCTTTGCTCTTGACTTGATCAGGGTTGGAGAGCTGGCAAATGTGAAGCCCTGAGCATGGAGCAGCTGAGGCTGAAGGCGCCCAACACTCAGAATGGGTTTTCCAGTAAAAAGGGGAAGGCAAAAGAAGGAGCAGAACATGGTGGTGAAGTTGGGAGTCTGGGGAATAGGAAAAAATCATGGAGTTACCCATCAGCTGGAACGGGGTGGGGAGGACTTGGAGGTGATGCCCTGTTTTTGCCATGATGATCTCAAGTTGGCTGTGGGACATCCAAGAAGGTTTACGAGTGGGAGAGGCTGGGTGGAGATGAGGGTCTGTGAGCTCTCAGAGGAGGGATGTGCTCACCAGGGAGAGGGTGTTTGGGGTGCTGAGGACGAGGACCTGGTGCTGGGCCTGTGGGGCTGGGATGGGGCCAGGCATACTGGGATGTTGCCTGATGTGTGTGGGATGCAGGGGACAGGCTGAGCAGGTGTGGGGGGCACTGGTGGAGGAGGAGGAGATGAACATCTTGCTCTGTCCATGGTCACTGAGAAGCCAGCAGCTCCCTGCACCTTGTTTGAGCATCTTTTGTGTCACTGGAGACAGCCTCTAACCTGAGGATGAAGCTGGAGTGGGAAAGAGAAGGGCTGGAGGGGTGGGATCCACCAGAGCAAGAGAGGAGATGTTGGAAGGAAAGGGTTTTGGGAGGCTCAGGCATCATTTTTCTCACCCTCTTCCTGCAACAACAGTTGAACTTAACAAAATCCTCCTCAACCCCTGCCACCAGGGAGGCCAAAGGGAGAGAAAACTTTGGTTTTACCACGAGCCTATGGAAAGGTGAGCTCTGAGAGCACACAAATGGAGAGCTACAGCTAGAGAAAGGAGACAAGGCAGAGTGTGAGCACAGCTGGACCCAGCAGCAGCACGTGCCGAAGCCAGCAGCTCTAGACCATAGGGAACAGCATGAAAAGGATTCCCCAATGCTCCTGGCTTGGGGAAGGACAAGGGACAAGTGGCTGAGGGTCTGCTTGGAACACGCACTGGGTATCTGGCACTGCATCCTCTCCAAATCTAGCAAGAGGCAGCAGTCCCTGACTCAGCAGTTCTTTCCCCCTCCCAGCCCAAATACACCTCGAAATAACTGGCAGGATGCTTCCAGCAGCACACAAGGCAGCCCTGAGCCCTTGGCTGTGGGCAGAACAGGGGAGCACTGCTCCAGGCAGATGGATGTCTCCACAGGAGGAAGTCACAGACTTACTGAAATCTGAGGTAAGATCTTTAAGCTAGCAGTACGGCCAGTGGTTGAGGCAGAGGAATGATGAGCGAGCTGTGCTTTCACTGATGGGAAAGCACGGATGCAGCCTGTGATCCAAACACCAGCATCTCCTGAGCTGAGACAGGAGGAGGGACAGAGACAACCTTCGAGTTCCCTTTGCCCTGTCAGGAGGCACCACGTGGGCACCTCTCCTTCCAGCTGAGGGCTCTTGGGAGGGGACCAACAACCATGAGGTGTTTGCAGCGTGTGCTGGTTTTACGCAGGCCAGCGGAGCTGCTTTCAGGACAGGAAAACCCCGTGGCTTGCTCAGCACAAACTTATTATTTAATGGACAAAGTAAATATGAAAAGAAAAGGCATTTCCTGCCCCCCTCTGGTGCTGAAACTTACAGTTGTGAGAAGAGCCATAGTGCTGTGGAGCCGAGATATCTCTGGGTGACATTTGCAGGGCTCAGCTTTCATCGCAGCTTGAAAAAAATCCCATGTGCAGAGATTATCTCCACACTGATCTGGATTGTCTTGTACAGCTTTGGCCCTCATCCTAGATGGACAAAGAGCAGAAGACTTGGCCAGTGGCCTGAGGTCTGTGACCTCCTCTGCATGAGCTGGGAAGAGGAGGAACAGTCTCTAAGGTACTTGAGGACTTGCAGCCTTGAGGGGCTAAGGAGATGGAGCCAGGAAACTTAGATCCCCTGGGGATTCAGCACTGCACCCTTGGCCAGCTGAGCCAACTGAGGGAGGCAACCCCTGCTCTGGTGAGGAGATCTGTGGTTTGCACTGAAGTGGATCAAACCAGTGTGCTCCACCTCAGGGCGTCACCAGAGTGTCCCCCCTGCCACCACCCGGCACCCTTTGCTGGAGGTTTATTGGAGCTGGGGGCTGAGCAGGCAGGGGGGAGGCAGCTGGGGGTGTGCTGGGGGGTTTGCCTTGATGCAAACCTCCCTTTTGCTGCACTGCTTCAAGTCAGTTGTCAGCAGCCGTCCAGCCGGACGATGTCTGGAGACCTTCCAGCGACCACAGGCTCTCCCCCAGCCCATCACTGCCGTGGCACAGGCGGGATTTCACATATGTCTGTGCATTCCCCCAGCCTTCCCCCCTCTCATGGAAGGAAAACAAGCCTGCAGGTTTGCAGGGACCCCCCCCTCCTCCTCCAGCCCAGAGGGTGATGGCCACAGCTCTGGGCTTTTCCTGGACCGTGCAGGGCTTGGCAATGCCACCCTGTGCCGACCCCTCTCCACATCACGGGCAGATGTTCCTGTTGGCTTGAGCTGCCGTCCCGAGGTTTTTTTCCTCTGCTCGCCGTTTGCCTCTCAACTCACAGACCGGTGGGTGAGGGAGAGAGGAACCACTTCACTTTCCACCTCCCCTCTCAGTGCCCCTCTGCTTATTAGTTCTCCAAATACTTCGTCCCGTGGCCCAACAGCAAGGACTCTGCTCTAACTCAGTCCCAGGCGGAGCGAGGCCGCAGCGGGTGGGACAGCGCCTTATCCTCATGGCAGTGCTCCAGGGAGCAGGAGGGGGCAGCTGGGGCCCTGCTGCACTGAATTTGTGTGGCCAGGGCACACATGGCAGCATCCCCTCTGGCTCTGTCTTTCCCTCATGCTTCCCCAAGGGCAAGACAGTGATAGTGGCAGAGCACAAGCATTCCCTTTTTCCCCCAGCAGCATCTTTACCTCGCCCCCAGCAATTGCTCCCCTGATACAGTTCTGCTTTTCTCAGCATCCAGTGTGACAGGGACTGTCCCCCAGAGCCCTCCCAGGTCAGGAGAACAGGTATGTGGAGGAGGAAGAGCAGAGCTGTTGTGGGATGCTGGTGAACAAGGTGGGGGCAATTATGGGACAGAGGAAAAGAAATCCACTGGCATTTCCTCCCATCAGCTCCCAGCTCCATTAAGGAGCCAGAGGATTGCAGGTACCACTGCCCTTTAGTGTTTCCAGTGGAATGAGGTGCTAGAGAAGAGAGGGGGGGAAGGGAAGCACGGTGGGACCCATTGCATCCTCCAACAGCCCTGGGCAACCACTGAGGAGATTCTGTAAATCAGAGTGGCCACTGGAACTGCTCCAGAATCCATCCAATGCCCAGGAACTGCTCCAAAATCCATCCAGTGCCCAGGAGGCCATCGAGTATCCCACAACAAGGAGGTGCAAGAGTGTCCCATGTTCCCCTTATGAACTGATCCCCCGGGCTGGGCTCCACATGGAACTGAAGTGTTGGGGGACAGTGCCACCCTGTCACCCCCTGCCCATCCCCTGCCATGCACCTGGCTGTGCTCCATCCCCTCCTGAGGCTCAGCCAGGGCAGTGGTGCTCTGGGGTGCTCAGCACATTCCTTAAACAAACAAAAATAACTGCGATGGAAGGTTTTGAACGCTGCACTACCCTCAGCTTAAACATCTCCTGTCTGCAGGAGCCCATCCGGATGGGAGCTGATATCCCACAGATCCCCAGCCAGCCAGAGAGCAAACTGGCACAGGGCACCGAGGGGCTCAGGCCTCGGCAATAAATACAGCAGAGCAGGCAAAACAAAATTAAAAAAAAAAAAAAACAAAACCCAAAAACCAACAATGATCAATTTTTTTAAACTTTAAATATTTTTTCTTTAAAATCTGGTTTTTTCTCTGGGGTTCTGTCTCTGTAAAAGAGCTGTGCTCTCCCTGCAGTGTCTGGGTCACTTCCTCAGTCCTGGTCGCGGGGCAAGGGAGAAGCAGGGTCAGTAAAAAGATGGGGCGGGCGTGGGTGCTCTCCCGGCGTGCATCACCGGCACGTGTGGATCTCCACCACCCGGTGGCAGGGTTTGCACTTGACGGAGCAGCACCAGTGGAATTTGCAGCTGCACCTTTCCACAACCTCCACCTCGTCCGTGTGAAAGCCGCGGCCGCAGCACATCAGCTCGCAGCCGTCTATGGCCTTGGAGGTCTTGTTGCACTGCCGGCCGCTGGTGCCCAGCACCCCGTTCTTGAGGTCGTGGTCACAGAAGTCGGGACTGGAGTCCAGGTAGACGAGGTCCTCGTCCGTGTGCGGCTTGAACTGGGAGTTTTTGGGCACCAGCACCTTGGTGGATCCGACCTCGCTCTGCTCGACCTCCGTGGCGCCGTCGAATTTCTCCTTGAGGACGTTGCCCACTTTGCGGAAGGGGGGCATGGCTTTCCAGCACGTCTTGAACTCGCACGAGCCCGACACGCCGTGGCACTTGCACTCCACCCGCATGTTGTTCAGGATCGCCTGGGAGAGCCGGCACAGGGAACAAGACGGGACGGTCAGCAGGGGGTGGACAAAGCAGGGAGGGCTGTGCAGAAAGCACTGCTGGTGGGATTAAATGAAGCCCAAGCGGTCCAAGCCGTGGCTGCAGAGCCTGGCTGGGATGCTGGGTTTGCCCCTGGCCATTACCTTTCTCCCTGCCTCGTTGTTGTGGAGGTTCATTAACGCTCTGTTGGAAGAGGCCCCTTTGCTCCTCTCGCGGATGTCGACGAAGGACTGCGAGAAGGCCACGCCGTAGGCGATGTTGTCGGAGCAGCCCGACCACTGGAAGCCTGAGGCAGAGAGCACAGATGAGACAGGTACAGCCAGCCTGTGGTGCTTGCACTCTCCAGCCCTGCTCTCTCTAAAATCCAGCTGGCCTGCCCACCTCTGGCTGGACTGCCTGGGGGATCGGGGAAGCTGAGGGAGTGTGGGGAGACACACGGACGAGACACCTCCCCTGCCCTGCTGGGCTATGCTCCCGGCTGCCATTTTGCAGGACTCAGTGAGGACTAACAAACGTTTTCCTCCCTCCTGGACGGCTGCAGAGAGTGGGTTTGGATGCCCCCCCTGCCCTGTTTGGACTCTCACCCTGCGGGCTGCCCCCCTGCACCGTGCGGTCACATCCACACTTGTCCAGCTCGCCGCTGCTGCAGGCGCGGGTCACGGCGAAGGCCACCCCTGCCGAAGAGATGGCATAGACGAATGCTGCCTCCCGTGTCCCTGCAACGGCACAAACCACGGTGGGAAACGTTGGCAGCAAGTCCAAGGCAACAGGAGTGGGATTTCTAGGGGTGGGAGGGGGAGTCCTTGGTGGGCTGTCGCGCGTGTCGCCGCTCCTCTCCCTTCCTGACGCTGGTGTGGCGCATGAACCCCCTGGAAAAGCTGGTCTGAAGGCTGGCTCTTGGCAAAACACGCTATGCAGAGCTATCAGGTTAATCCCTTTGCTCCATCACTTCCTCCCGAGGTGAGGTACCCCCTGCAGGACCCTCATCTGCCTCATCCCCAAGGACACTGCTTATTGCTAAGCCTGGACCCAGCTCTGCAGAGACCCCTCAGCACTGGGAGATGTTTTGCAGCAGTGAGGGCCCTTGCAATAGTGAAGGAGCTGGGAACTGCCCCACAACACTAAAAACATGAATGATGGACAAGTGATAACTTGGCGATGGGAGAGGCAGAGGCCGAACTGCCAGTGTGGGGAGAACCCTCCAGAGATTATATGGAGAGACTGTCTTGCCTGGTGCTTGCAGGGCACCTCTGCCATGAAATCCCTCCTGCATCTAAAACAGCTGGCTACTTTCCACACCCAGGAGCATCCCCTGCAGCTCCTTGCCGTCCTCTCACACAGGGTCCTGTAGCTCCCAGCACCTTCCAAACTACTGTGCAAAACCCTGCTCTGCTCCCAAACCACCCCAAGAAACCCCGCTGGTCCACAGGGTGCAGGCCCTGTCCCAGCTCTTGGTGCCACACAGTTGGGAAGAGCTTGTTTGGGAAGCCGGGGGCACCCTGGGCGTGAACACACAGCGTGTCACGGCCAGGGATCAGCTCTTGCAACACCCAAATCCCCACTGAGGCCAGCTGAGGATACAGACTCTCCATCTCTGAGCAAGGAGGGCTGGCATTTGGGGTGGTCCCATGCTTGGTGCAGAGGGGGATGGCCTGCGAGCAGATGTCACCCCAGCTCGCTGGTCGGACACAGGGCAGCTACTTTGGTGGTCGCAGCCCAGACTTTGGTGGCCCAGCTGGCAGTGGCTGAGGAGGACCCAGCCAGCGTGGGGACTGAACCGCCTCCAAGTTAATCGAGGTTAATAGTAGGATCGTGTTGGTCGGTTTGTGCTGTGGCTGCCTAAAAAGAGACGACTTTTAGTTTCTGGTATTTCTGGTATTTCCAGTCCCCGAACCTTCACAAGAAGAGATCTTCACCCCTGTGTTGAGGGGAGGAGAGTCAAACAAGGAGCTGGGGTTATGCTTTGGTCTGGGGGTCCTGGGATGGGAGGTGAGATGGTGCCTCAGAGGTGGCACCTGAGGGGAGGGCAAGGGACTCATCAGCGATCTCCAGGGGTTTTCCCCTCTGTCTCCTCACCCCAATGCTGTGGTTTGATCACAGCCCTGGGCCTCTGGGAAGCCTGGCTGCAGCTGGGGCTGGGGGCTGCCCTGGCCACGTCCACCCTGAAGGCTGGCAGCTGGCTGGTGGTGGGCGATGATGCTGTGCTCGAGGGCCCAGCTGCTGTGTGTTCTCCCTGTGCCAGGTGGCAGCAGGCTGTCCTCCTGAGGGCATTCACTGATGCTCTGCTCAAGAGTGGCCACAGGCTGGCCTGGCAGCAGCCACCACTTCACCACTGCCCAGGGAAGAGACCGAGTGAACGCAGGCAGGGCTTTGTGGAGTGGAGCTCCTGGCCTTGGTGGGAAAGAGTGGAGATCCACAGGGTGATTTTAGGACCCCTGCTCAAACTTGGCATGCACATGTCAAAGGTCTCCTGATGCCCTGGGCTGGTGCCTCCATAAAATGGGTGTGAAAAAGGTTCAGGAGAGCTGCAGAATGGCAAGTGCCTGGATATGCTGTCCACAACACAGTGAAGAAAGAGCCCTGCTGAAGTGCCCGTCCGCCCCAAGATCCAACACTGGGCCGTTCCTGACTCTCCCCAGCCACTGCTGAGGGGCAAGCAGACAAAAACCTGCCTACAGCCCACCAGACTGCCCCTGTAGCTGTTCCCCCAGCAGCATCACCCCAGGCACGCGCTCTCCGGACTCACCTTGCGTCACCACCTTGCCGAAGACGGGCAGGGTGTCCAGCGTGGAGCAGTTCCAGCGGCGGTTGCGGAACTGGTACTGGCACTCCTCGATGGCCAGCTGGGCTCCCCGCCGCACCGAGTCCATCACCTCCAGGTTCCTCTTGCACATCTGCACCTGGCGCTGGATCAAGCCCTTCAGCTTCTCGCAGGTCTCCTCCTCGGAGATGCTCCCCACCGAGGACAGCTTCGCCAGGTACCTGCCACGACACCGGCACGGAGGGTTAGGGGGGCGAGGGCTGGGCGAGCACGAGTGCCTGTTCAGCTGGGACACCCTGCCTTGCACACAGCAAGGGGACCAAAATTCTCACCCCCTCACAGTAGCGGGGACCCGGTGCCTGCCAGGGGTCACCTTAAATGTGCCGTGGTGGTGGCTCTGCAGGATGCATTTTTGGCTGGCAGAAAGCAAGCCCGAAGCAAAACAACCATCCCTCTGCAGCCTAGTCCCTGTCTCTCGGGGAGTCCAGCTGCTGGCTCCCCTTTGCCTCTGTTGCCTGCAAGGAAGATATTTTCAGCATTGTCTGAATGTGCCCGGTCAGGTCTCCTGAGTACCGGCACATCCAAGTGCTACTAGGAAAAGCCAGAGGTCTCCAAAGTCAGCCAAAACAAGCAGGACAGGCACTTGGCTGCCAGCTCCATCTGCCACACTGCTCCCACAGCATGGCTGTGTGCTCATCACCGGCAAACATCGCCCTCCAAACCACTTCCCTCCTGGAGCCTGCTTTTAGCTGCCCCAGCCCCCAGCAGGCAAGGATGGCCTCTGGGAGCTGCCAGGTTTCCTTTCACTTGGGATTCAAGCAGGGCTGGGGAAAAGAGAATTCAGGAGCCTGCTGGGGCAAAATTTCACAGGCTGGGCACCTCTCCCACCAGCCCAGCTCATGAACAGGGGCCATGAGGTCTTTGCTGACCTGGAAAAGACTGGCCCTGTGTGGAGGGGACCATGTGTTCTGCTTTCCATAGCCCCATCCTCAGCAGAAGGAGTCACAGAGGTGGTCTTGGGTGTCAGCATTAGGGGGATGAAGGAGTTTATCCTCTAGGGGCAAGCACCTGGAAATCGTTCAGCATCTTCTTGCCCAGCATAAGGGTATGATGGTCCCTCCTGCACATCCCAGTAACCCAACCCACCACCCCGTTGGGCTGTGAGCACCATGTCCATGCTTGCCCATTTCCCAGCTCTGGATCACAGAAGGAGCTTGAGAGAGACCCAGTCAGATTATCCAGGCTGTGGGCTAATCCAAGACACTCTACAGCTATTAATACCTGCGCTGGCAGGTGGGTGTAAGAGACTCCCTCCTTCCCGTGGCTGCTGGCATCTGCTTCAGGTGGCACTACCATGGTGAAAACCTGACCTACCATGGACAAGGAGGGTCCCCTGCGTGGGACAGGCACATAACTCACACTTGCACCTCCCCACCCACCACACCGAGCTTTAGTGTCCTCAGGAATCGCCAGCGCCGGCTCACGCTGCTGCCTCGTCTGCACCAAGAGATGCAAGTACCAGGGGGGAGGCTGTTTGGAAACCTCATTCCTTGACTCTGCATTTCCCAGCCCTACAGAGCTTGTGGGTTTTTTTTGTTTGCTTGTGTTTTTTTTCCCTCCTCCTCCCGAGTTGCGACATCCTGCTAAGGATTTTTCCTTTGAAGCCCTGCTGGCCTCCGAGAAGTGACTGTGCAAAAGTGGCTCCTGCTCCCTGCCTGTTCCCATGTGTCCCAGGAGCCAGATCTGCTGACTTCAGCCACAAAATCAAGTTGTCACGGCCTCTTCCTCCCCATTAACCCTGCCAGCCTGCCCCAGGAGGAGAGAACAGGATTTTCTCTTCTGTGCATCAGCAGAATTATTCACCAGCTTGGTTTCGTGCTCACGACCGGGGGGCCGTGGGAGCCAGGGAGAAAGCTGTCTTGGCTTGTGGTGTCCATGGGGAGCCTGCATGGTGAGATGTCAAAAGCATTCAGCTTTCCCTGTGCGTGATCACTGCAGGCAATGCTTCTCTGACAGTGGGAAGCAGGAGGCTGCTTTCAGAGCCAAGTGCTTTTCTAGCCTTTATACAAGCAAGGCATCTTTGCCCAAGGCTTCCTGCTCCTCCAAGGGCATAGCCCTGTTTGCTTCAAAAACCCACCGTGGCCAAACCCAGGGCTGTCACCTTTCTGCTGGCCCCCAGGCCACGCAGGGAGTGTCCCTGTCCCTGTGCTGCAGTCCCAGATGTGGAGTGCAACAACTGCTGCTCTCACATCTCGCTGTGAAGGCACCAAACTACCAAACAGGAGCTTCGAGGATGTTGGATGCTGAGCACACACATGGAGTGCCTGTAACTCCCCTCCCAGGTCCAGCCATCATTCCAGTCTGGGCATGGGGTAAGCTGACACACGCCAGAGCGGTGAGACTCATCCTAGGACAGTGTAAGGCTGGTTGATCAGTTTTGAGCCTGGAAGCCAAGAAAAAATCAGATTCTACCTCCAGTCCCGATTTGGCTTCCCCCCTGCCAGCAACTCATTTATCATGCCAGGGCACCAGCTCCTGCAAAGCCACAAGGCTGGTCCTGCAGATGAGTTGGTGCCTGCTCTGACTGCAGGCACCTTGGCAGGACAGTGCTTTGCTGCAGGGGTGGCAGCCTCATTAATATCAGCTCTGCTCAGGCTGGGGCATCGCCTCATTTTCTAATATATATTTCCCAGCTCGAGATTCTCCAGGCAAATGTGGATCAATAAATTCAAAGCATGAATGAAGAAAAGCATGACAAGAGCCTTTCAAGCTTTTCCAAGGAGATGCACCTGATAAGGTGCCTCCCCAACCTGCGTTTAATGCTGTTTGGGATGATAAAACAAAGGCCAAGGGTGCTTCAAAGATAGGTACAGCTCTCCAAGAACAGGCCTGGTAATTTGTTTTGCAAGGCAGGCAAATAAGATGAAACTATCCAGAACGGGGCTCTGGCCTCTTTCCCCCCTGACAGGTCCTCTGTGTCCCATCATCCCTCCTCATGCTCGCTGTGGGGATGGAGGTAACTGTGCCTAAAATGCTGTGGCCCCATCACACTCCCAGCCTGTTATCAGTCCATGAGAACCATCACTGCTTTCCAAAAGACACGTCTTTTGGAAGGGGAGGAAGCTCCAGGATCCAGAGGTTCAGGCGAGGACCTCAGCTTTGAGTCTCTCACGCTGCGTCTCTCCACACCACATTCAGGGGCACCAGGTGGGGACAGATCATCCCCTTTCCCTGCTCTAGGGAACATAAAAGGTGAGACAGGAGCTGGGAAACATGCCCTGCCCTCACCAGCACTCAGAGACGCTTCCACCCCACAGCTCACAGCACCTTTCTCAGGGCTGTGGAGTCCAAGCAAAGCACCAAACCCATTCCCAGCATCCCACACCTCCCATGGAAACGTGGCTCTAGCACTCTGCCTGGTCCTTCACGAGAACTTGGCTCCAAACTTCGTTTTCCTGGGCTGAGGTGGTGAAAACCACAGACAAAGCCTTTGCCTACCCGCATGGAGAGCCACAGGCTCAGCAGGAGGAACAAAGCAAACAGTTCTTGCCCTCTGTGAGGTCTCAGTGCAGATCTCCATCGTGATATCACATCTTGATTGCCGTGCAGAGCTTAAGTCTCACATGCAGCCTCTAAACAGCCCTGCTTGTGGAAGAAAACCTCACCCAAATAATGGAATATTTTCTTCCTTTGCCAAGATTGGGCAAAGAACGATTCAAGGGGTGAGCTGCTGCCCACAACATTTGTTCAAGCTCTGTCTTCTTGCTTCATTGTGGCCTTTATGTTTCTTCTCTCCTGGCTTTAAATCTAGGCAAGTCACTCGCAGAACAAGATGCCTCTTAATAAGCCACTGATGGAAGACAAAACTGACAGAAAGCCCTTCCTTTTTTATCACCCACAGTATTGAGATCAGGATCGAAGCCCCACAATTCGAGCAGCTGCAATTAATCCACCCTGCAAGGTGGCAAATGAGTAAACCTCAAATCCAGGAAGTTTTGGAAAGATGGTGGGGGGAAATGTCAGGAAGGCCTGCTTAAATAAAAACGATGATAATACTTTCAGGAGGAAGAATAATTGCTGGAATGACAAGGAGACCTTGCAAGAGCCACAGGGGTTGGCAGATAGAGCCAGGAGGTGAGGGGTGGAGATTGCCTGCCAGGGGAAGGTGTGGAAATTTCAGTCATGGACAAATTCTCAACAGAGGCATGTCAGGGAAGATGCAGCAGATGTCTTGGAGAAAGCAGAGCTCTCCGGTGTTCCTTTAATTTAAACAAATAAGTTTCAAGTGTGAGAACTCTTTGTATTGTCTCATTTTGGGAATATTTTCCCGAAGGTGAGAACAGTCACGATCCAGGTCAGTGGCATCACTGATAAGCCACTCAATAGATGTTCAGAGGTTGTGCTGAGGATTGAGACTGCTTGTGCAGGCAGGTTTCTTCTGGGGAGGAACAAAAGGCTTGTTTAGGATGTGAAAAACCCATGGAACAACCCCATGCATCCCTGCCTGCATCTGTCTAGGCAGACAGATGGATGCAGGCAGGGAGAGGTACTGACCAGTGTTGTGGTCAGCTCCATCCTGCAGCTATGGAGAAGTGGGGAATCTTTCCCTCTGGATAATCTTTCCCTTGTTGCTTTCCCCTTCCAATGGAGAGATGTCCCAGGGTTGGCAGTCAAATGATGCTCCAGGCAGGCCAGACAGCCCTTGCTGGGCTTAGTGCTGCTCTCCCTGTGCCAACAGGGCCAGGCTGGCAGGGACCACCACGTCCTTGGAATAGGTCCACAAGCCTGCCAGCTTGGGCAGCTCCTGTCAGGATTTGCTGGTGACCTGCAAGGGTGCCCTTGTCCAGTTGCTGGCTCTGCAGCAGGGCTTGTTCCTCCCAGGGACTGGGCACCCCCCTCCTGGGATTAGATATCCTGCCTTTCTCTCCCTTCTAAGTGCAAACCATGATTGACAAAGTCATCCTCTGAGAGCCTGTCTGGCCTCTTCCCTGGAAGAAAGGCAGCTCTCTGTCTCAGTCCTTCCTGTCACAGTTAAGGCACCATCTCTTGGCTCAGAGCTGCTTTTCACACCTACTCTCCACCTCCAATCAGGAGCTGCCAAAACAGCCTCCCAGGAGGAGGAACTGTCCTGTGCCCACAGCCCCAGCTCAAGGGTGGGCCTGCACCTCCAGTCCTGTCCCCCCACCCCCTGGACCCTGCACCTGACACCACGTGCACCCAG